CTAAACCCTAAACCCCAAACCCTAAACCCTAGCCCTAAAACCTAAACCCCTAAACCCTAGAACCCTCAACCCTAACCCTGAAAACTGAAACACCAAACCCACACTGAAAACCCTGCGCAGAACGAGGCTCCGGCCACCGCCAGCTCCCAGGGATCCACCTAGAAGAAACATCGGCCCCCCCAGTGTAAGGTTTAGGGTTTAGGGTTTAGTTTAGGGTTTAGGGTTTAGGGTTTAGGGTTTAGGGTTTAGGGTGTAGGGTTTAGGGTTTAGGGTTTTAGGTTTTGGGGTTTAGGGTTCAAGGTTTCGGGTTTCGGGTTTCGGGTTTAGGGCTTTCGGGTGTTTGGGCTTTAAGGGTTTCGGAAGGTTTCGGGCCCTGGGGTTTAGGGTTTGGATTTAGGGCTTCGGGTTTTGATGCAGGGTCTCTTGTGCTGGCTGGAGAAGAAGGCGACAAGAGTCTCGTCAGGTAGACCCCAAACCCTAAACCCTAAACCCTAAAACCCTAACCCTAAACCCTAAACCCGAAACCCTAAACCATAAACCCTAAACCCTAAAACCCTAACCCTAAACCCTCAACCCTAACCCTAAATCCTAAACCCGCGAATTCCTGAGACATGCCCTGCGCGCCTGGAGCTGGCCCAGCTCAGTTCGGAGCAGAAGGGAGCCCTCCTTGCGCCCAGCCAGGGCTTTGGAGCTTTAGGGCTTCAGGGCCTTAGGGTTGTTTAGGGCTTTGGGGTTGTTTAGGGTTTAGGGTTTGGGGTTTGGGGTTTGGGTTTCGGGTTTTGGGTTTTGGGTTTTGGGCTCAGGGCTTAGGGTCTTGGGCGTCTTTGGGGTCTAGGCTTCTGCCAGGCGGTCCTGTGGGAGCAGCAGCAGGTCACCGTCTGCGACTCGCAGGAACCGCTTCTTCGAGGACCTCCACGTGCGGGAAGTGACCACCCTAAACGCTGAAACCCCCTAAACCCTAAAGACTGGCATCCTGAACAAGGACACAACAAGAACCCCAAGAGCCCCGGAAGAAAATTCTGCGCTCTACCTTCTAAACTTGAAAGAAGCCCTCAACCTTGGGTCTAAAACCCCTAAACCCTAAACCCTAAACCCTAAACCCTAAACCCTAAACCCTCCCTTGAACCGTAGTGGCGGGGCCGAGCCCGTGGCATGGACGTCGTCATGGCATAGGTGTTCGCGCTGCACCCATCCTGGCCAAACTGGCAGATGCTGTTAGGGGGTTTAGGGTTTAGGGTTTAGGGTTTAGGGTTTAGGGTTTAGGGTTTAGGGTTTAGGGTTTAGGGTTTAGGGTTTAGGGATTAGGGTTTAGGGTTTAGGGTTTAGGGTTTAGGGTTTAGGGTTTAGGGCGGTTTAGGGTCTAGGGTTTAGGGTTTAGGGTTTAGGGTTTAGGGCTCAGGGTTTAGGGTTTAGGGTTTAGGGTTTAGGGTTTAGGGTGTAGGGTTTAGGGTTTAGGGCGGTTTAGGGTCTAGGGTTTAGGGTTTAGGGTTTAGGGTTTAGGGTTTAGGGTTTAGGGTTTAGGGTTTAAGGTTTAGGGTTCAGGGTTTAGGGGCTCTTAGTAGGGAATGAGGCACTTAGGTAGCCTATCGAATCCCTTGAAGGGAAGGAGTAGGGGGTGTACGGTACCTACCTCCCTCTAATTTTCCAGTAAGGACGAGAAGGAACAGGGTTCAGGATTTGTGCACTTCGGGGCTGTAAGGCTCCAGATTCAGGGTTTTAGGTTTAAGGTTCAGGGTTCAAGGTTTAGGCTTTCGGGCTTGGGGCTCGGGGTTCAGGGTGCAGGGCTCAGGGTTCAGGCTGTTGGGCTCAGGGTTCAAGGTTCCAGGGTCTACAAGCTTTGGGCTCAAGCCACGTGCAGCTGCAGTGGCATGTGCGAGCTCGCCTGGGCGGTGGGACAGCCATTGGCAGCCACGGTGACAGTGCCATCCACGAAGTCAGTTCCTTGCAGCCGCGAACCCAGCGAGCCCAATCCCCTTCAATCAAGCAAGATAACCCTTGAATGAGGGATCCCTATACATTGCTCTGAAGTTCGGTCTACCCCTTGGGTGAAGAGGTGTTGGGCTTTCAGAAATGAACTCCCATTTCTTACTGCCCACACTGCACAGCGTTCTGTTTGCGGCTTCGCCTTGTGGCGGCATCGGCGATGGTCGAAAGCGCAACTGCACCTGAACAATGACAAGGAAGCCCCCTAAACCCCTTCAACCGTAAACCCCTAAACCGCGAACCCGACACCCCGAAACCCCGAAACCCCGAAACCCCGAAACCCCGAAACCCAAAGCCCTACGCCCCGAAACCCTAGACCCTGAACCGTAAACCCCTAAACCCTCAACCCCAAGCCCCCCTGGAACGACAGGAACCTGCCTCTGAGTCTGGTCGGGGTTCTGCAGGGGGCTTGCGGTCTAGGACGTGCTTATAAGTTCCAGGGCTTCACGGCCGACTTTTTTTGAGGAAAGTACCTTCCCAAAGTCCCAAAAAGCCCAGTATCCCTTAATGAAGGAATGTACCTTAAATCTTTTTTTGGAACCCTACATAAATTAAGGTATATTCGGGGGTACTGGGCTCTCTGGGCCAGGGGCTGCTTAAAATGAACAAAGTCAGGCTCCTCAGTTGAGGGGGAATTGAGCTGTGTGGGCATTTTGAGCCGAAACTCCTAAACGAGGCCCCTAAACCTAAACCCTACACCCTAAACCCCAAATCTGGGCTCCAGATTCCCTCCCGAAACTCCGAAGGAGCTGTTCGAGTTGGGCACGCACCAATCTGCCCAGCCTTAACCTCCAAGCCGCCAAGCCCTAAAAAAAACCTAAACTACAACCCCCAACCTAAACCCTAAACCCTAAACCCTAAGCCCTAAGCCCTAAACCCTAAACCCTAAACCCTAAACCCTAAACCCTAGGTGCTTCCCCTGCCCCTGGCGCACCGGCGGGCACGGGTGCCTGAAGGGAGGGCCGACCCAGGTCGGGTGGGCCTGGCGGAGTTCAGGGTCTAGGATTTAGGGCTTAGGGTTTAGGGTTTAGGGTTTAGGGCTTAGGGTTTAGGGTTTAGGGTTTAGGGTTCGAGCGGCCAAGCCGGGCAAAAGTTTTAGGGGCTTGCAGGGCTTTTTGGAGAGGGGGCTCTGCCAAATCGAAAGCTGGCGCAACCCAGGGCTGGTAGTCCGCAGCAGTGGTCGCCGCATGCTGAACCTAAGCAGGAGCGCTCTTCGATGTTGTGGGGGTGTGAAAGGGCTTTCTCAGCCCTAAACCCCTAAACCCCAACCCCTGAACCCGTTTAGGGTGTCAGATAAGAGTGCTGTGGGTAATGCCCAACCCTGAATCCTCAACCCTCAGCTCTACGGAAAACACCAGAAAGTTGGAACATGGTTTACGGATGATTAACGCTAGGATTCCCTTTAGTATACCTTTTGGGGTATGAGGATAAGGTACTTTTTGGAGTTTACTGGTAAACCCTAAACCCTAAACCCCAAACCCTACTCCCTACACCATAAACAACCCTAAACACTAAACCCTAAACCCTAAACCCTAAACCCTAAACCTAAACCCTAAACCTAAACCCTAAACCCTAAACCCTAATTGCTGCTCCTGCGTTTGCATGGCTTTGCCTCCGATGTGTGCAGCCACAGACCGACAGTTTTGCTCAAGACGGCTCACCTGGGTTTAGAGATCGCATGCAAGATCCTCAGCTCATAATGCGAAGTTGAGAGCTGGCCACCCTTCAGGTGGCTGGATAGCATCAAAAGAACTCCCAAACACCCAGGCGACTGGTGATCAAAGATAGCCGCTCACACCCGTGGAGTGTGAAATAAAATAAAACCGAGCCTCATTCTCGTGCAACAGAAAAATCCCTGTCCTAAGACACATCACGGCTGGCTCAGACCGTGGAAACTCTCACCACCAAGCTCAGAACCCAGCTTAGCCAGCAGCTGGTTGAAGCAAGCGCCCAGGAGAGGCACAAAGTCACAAAGTTCCCGGAGCATGATGGCAGAGTGTAGGTGGCCCAGAGCAAAACTTGAATTGACGCCAGACAGGAAGCAAAGCAAGTGCACTCACGGTGTCCTTGAGTTGACATGTAGTCTCGCCGCCAGCCTTCTCTTACGCCCCAGCTTGCGACAGATCTGTGGTTTACCACGGGACGGCCTGTCAGCCGGGTTGTCCTCAGAAGGAATGTGAACAAGCCTCAGCAGACAGTTTGAAGCCAACAGGAGGCTGTTGATGCGACGCAAGATGCCTCTGATTGCCGGCGAGGAGGTCCGACCCTTGCTGGCTGCGCCAAGAACAGCTTTGGCATCGACCAAGATGACAACCCGGCGCCCGAAATGGCGAGGCGTCCGCAAAACCCATTTGACAGCAAGGAGAAGAGCTTGTGCCTCCAGGATACTCGAGTGTACCTTCCATTTCGCCTTTGCACGAATGGCAGTGCGGAAAGCCCACTTGTAAAAAGGAAGCACGTGAGGAACTCCGAGTCTGTCCTTCGATGGAGCGGCACCCTCTTCAGGGAACAAGCGGGGGATCAAACGCACCACCAGAAACCCCAACCCTCTACCAGGTCAGAGAACGCAGCAATGATGGCCCTTCCCTTGCGGTCTCCTTCATTTTGAGATGCGGCGGCAGAGTTCTTGGGTCTCCAAACACCGGGCGATATTGCAGCCGGTTATCGAGTCGACCCAAACCCAACCCCTACATTTTGCAGGGCGCGGCGGGCGGGAAAAGCAAAATGTCCCTACTCTGACTTGGCTGGGCCTATCGCCCAACCCACTGCCTGCTAACCAGCAGGTGCAACTGTGAGCAGACAACACTGCGAGCAGTCACGCAATCACACAAACAAGCTCACGCAGACACGCGCAGTCGCTCACCTACATGACGTGGCGCTATAGATCCCACTTTACTGCACGCGCGCGTGCATCTCGCATAAAATCACCTCGTCTCTCAGAAAGCAAGCTAACCTCCTTCACAACGCTGTCGGTGCAAGGCATGTAAGAGACTCCAAAACCAAAGGCTCCCGAGGCATCACAAGCGATGAGCTTTGGCAGGAACTCGCGGCAAGCAAGCAGTCACCACCAGCTCCGAGATCACCTTGGCAGGGAAAGCCTGAACTCTGCAGGCCGGTTCTCTTTGCACAAAGCTGTAGACGTCATCGAATATGCTGTACATGGGTCTCGTAAGAAGCAGACAGAACCACTGCGCCAGCCCAAGCAGTCTACCCAATCCGGCAGGCGTGGCACGCCCTGTCACGCAAGCGTCCACCAAACCTGTAAAAAGTAGGCGCAGCTTCGAGGCCGACGGTTCCACGGCTGGCGGTTGCGAAGTGAGCTCACAGCCCAGAGCCGTCATGGACGTTTGAAGGGTAACATCCTTGGCACTGTTTTTGGGTAAGCCGCGTGAGTCAAGAACTGCGTCTAGCCTGCGCAGCCGCTCTTGACCAAGACGTCTGTCCTTGTGAAAGAAAAACGTGTCGTCCGTGGCAACCCCGCAAGCCTCCTGCCCATAAGGCGGAGCAGAGTCCAGCGTGAGGAAGTCCGAGTTGTTCACTCCTGCTTCCACACAACAAGCCACTGTGCAAGCCTGCGCCACACACGAACTCCAGCTAAAGCCCATGGGCCACACGGTGCTCGTGGGGTACAGGAGTGCGAAGCGCGAAAGACCTTGGCCCGAGCTGCCAGCGACATACTTCTGCAAAGTACGCCAAGGCACCTTGCCAACACGGCTCAGCTCTTGTAAGCTCACGGGCGGCCTGCCGAACCACTGCTGCAGGTTTTCAGGAGCTTTGAGCACGTCGAAACAGGTGTGGATGTCCCGCTTGGACATGAAAACCTCTTCTCCGTCTTGGAAGCACAAGTCTACAAAGCACCCAGGATTGGCCAGCTTGTACGGCTTTGGTGGAGGAGCGGCAGCCTGCGACACCAACGAGCCGTTCCAGACCTCACGCTGCTTGCTTGGCGAAGCTTTTTGCACGCAAAAGACATCACCAACAGCTTGGCAATCACGTCTTAGGACCGTCTTACCACACTCCAGCTGACGCAGCACCAACTTGATGTACTCATCGCGGTCCGCATCCTGGCCACCACATGGCCGGCAGGGGGTTGGCACAGGATTTGGGAACAACTTCTCTGTACTCACAACGGCGCTAGCAAGCTCCGCCGGCAGCAGCTCCAGTGGGTCACAAGTGGCGGCCTTGGCTGGCAAGTCGACGGCGTCTGCCTGCATTCGTGGATGCTTGCTGGAGGGCGTCTCCTCGAAGTGCTGAAAGCTGCCTCGCCAAGGAGACCCCCCAGCCGCGGCAAACTGCAGAAGCAAGCGGTTGCATCGGCCGGCAACATGCACTTGCACACTTTTTTGAGCAGCAGTCGGCGCACTGTCGCCGATTGTGATCTTGGGTCGCATGTCGCTAGCAAGTGCATTCAATGCTGCCAAACAAAGGTTTGTGAGCTTGAGGCAAGTTGTACTGTGACAGATGTGTGCATCGAGGGGCAATTCACCAAGCGGAGGCAAAGGAAAGATGTCCCGCTGTCGCTGTACTTTCGGCTTCTTGGGTTCAGCAGATGCAAGACTTCCGTGCCATGCGCTGTAGTATTGCACAAACTCACAGTTCTGCACGGACAAGAGAGCATCCAGCGCGCTTTCAACACTAGCCTCTGCAGTCCGAGCCACCAAACGCCGCTGGTTCGACCAGCCACGCGCGAAGTCGCGTCGGAGCTTTGAAGAAGACACATGTCGAGGACTCCGAGTGGGCACCATGTGCTTAGCACCAGTAAGCAGGGGCGGAAAAGCCTTGAACTCCCCCACGTCCCGGTCACAGCAGGATGAAAGCCAACAACCCGCCGCACGAGCTGAAGCATGGCTCCAAGCCCACTATCCTCCCTTTTGACCCTTGAGACGAACACGCAGCAGGAAAAGCAGATTTGCAGCTGCGCAGCCATTCATCCTACAGCACGTCTGCTGCAGGAAGCAGCCTTGCTTAAGGCCCACTCAGGACAGCAATATGCCATCAACCCTAAACCCTAAACCAAAACCCTCAAACTTTGAACCTCACGATTGGACAGGATCTGGGCGTCCGGGCCGAAGGTCGGACGCGGTAGAGCCACGTGTAGCGGTTCTTTGCCCTGGGCACCTGGGATGATTTTGGGGATTTGGGGATATATGTTTTCAGGTTCATTTAAGGAATTCAGGGTTTAAGGTTTTCAAGGTTCAAGGTTTAAGGGTTTCAGGGTTTCAGGGTTTAGGGGTTAAGGTTCAGAAATGTTTCATTCTGATTTCGGGTTTGTCAGCTGCAGCATTAGCCCAAAGATATGCTGAGCCAGGCACCGTGAAGGCCGAGCCAGAAACAAGCTCTGGGTACAAGCCTGGGCGTGTTCATAGGGGGTCCGAGCTATGGTGCTGGGCAGTTTTTGGGGAGTCCTGGGGTTCAGGTTCGCACGTTCTGCAAAGATCTGCTTCAGTTCTTGTTCGAACGCCTTAGGAACGCCCGAAACCCCAAACCTCATAGACCCTTTGGCCGGCGACAGACAAGGGCAGGGCCGTAGGGCGGATGCTGCGGCGAATTTTGCCTGCGGGTTAAAATTGATGGCGGGACAGCTCGGATTTAGGCACCTTAAACTCCACCGCCCTTGAAGGGTGACGAGCAACTGGCGATTCCACGTTCTAGAGCCCTGTTCAGGCCTGTTTTGTTTAATCCGACGTCCCACACTTGCAAAGATCTACACATTTCGAACAGGAAATGAAAATGTCGGGCACTGCCTGCGCGGCAGGGCACCTGGCAAAGCCTCGCAAATGTTGTTTAGGATTTCGGGTTTAGGGCCGGGGGAGAAACCCTCCATTTAGATTGAGCTTTGAACGCTGACAGGAGGTGCATCCAGCTGGTACTTCTGCTGCTTCAGTCCGAAGGTCTCACAGAATCGCTCACGACGGCTGGGGGATCCACTTCGGAATGGAAGAATCCACCGAAGCTGCCGTGCCTTGGGGGTTGAACTTCGGCTGAACATGCAGCCCAGCTTCTAAAGCATCCCAAAAAAAGAAAAAAAAAAAAAAAAAAACGCCAAAGATGCCTTGTGGACAAAGCGAAGCGCACTAAGGTGCCCACAGCACATCCCGTTCCGTGCGCCTGACTGCACTCCGCCACCTGAGGCTTCGGAGGCTTCAACTGACCACATCAACGAATACACCGCAGGGCCCAGAAAACATCACCAACAAAGAATGCAAGTCTGAGTCTCATAGGTTTCATTAAGTTTCACAAGTCAATCCAGCGCGCATGCGTTGCAGATATTGTAGACACATTGCGAGGCTTGGCAGCGCCAACTGCAGATCTGAGGTCCCAGCATACTTCTCAAGGCGGCAACTCGACTGGATCGTCTCCACCCAAGGTGCAGAAAACACAGAGAAATCGACACACACCTACATCAAAACAAGTTGCAGAACTGTTGCACTCTTGCAAACTGTGCCACTGTTGAATGCGCGACTGTAAGCCCAAAGCTGCCCATGGTGTGGTGAGGAATAATTTTCTTTAGTCCAGCTCCGATCTTCATGACAAGCTGACGGCGCAGTCATCCATAGACGCACAAAACTTCTCCATCCCATGACCGCTCTTCACGAAGTCTCATGAAATCTTGAAGGCCGCAATCACACGAATCAGATTGGCACAATTGTGTTTTTGGTTGTGAAAAGGGTTTCATACAGCAGCTGCTACATGTCGGGAATTTGAGGCATGACTTGCAAGGCTTAAGAACTTTGCTGGGGTAAATTCTGTTTCTTGGTAAGCTGCTCTGCTCGTTCGCGAACACTGCCGCCATCTGCCGCCGCAGATCTCAAAAAGCCAAACATTGCAGGCGTCTGGCCGCATCTGCTCGTGAGATGTCGCTTGTGGAAGATTGGGAGCACGCTGCGCCAGGTACTTGTGAGCCCAAGGCAGTTGTGTTGGCGGGCGCTTGCCCTAATTAAAACATTAAATCGCAGCCGTGGCGTCTAAAGCCTCAAAGGCTGCACCGCTGCATCTTTACACTGCTAGCGGCTGTGGAGGCCTCCGGCGCTCCAGCTTAGCCTACTAAACGGCATGGTGTGGCCCTAGGATCAGCTCGGCTGCTGTAGTTTTCTCAGTTGCTCATGAGTGCAAAACCTGCCAATAAAACCATAAACTTGCCATAAGCAGTCTTTTGCCGAAGCTGGGAGAAGCGGCTGCACTCAGATGTCAATTCACGTGGTGGCATTTTGTTGCGCCGACTTGCCTTGGTTCAAGGTTTAGGGAGTTTTTACGGCTTAGACTGCAACACGGAGGGCTTTTAGGATTCCGCTGCGAATACTGAAGCCATGTTACTAAGATGTTGTAGCCGACGAAACATCAGGTCTGGGCCTTCTTTATCCGTGCCTTTCCTCCAAAAGCAACAAGCCAGTGTGGCTACGCAGCTTAAGCACGAAGCACCATTTTGCGAAGCCACGGGTGGTAATGTGAGTCTTGTGGGAGGTGGCGTAGCGAGCTTTCTCAACGCCCTTGAATGTCCGCACTTTTGAGCACCCGTTGTTGGACCGAGCGGTTTTCCCAAAATCGCAAAACTTCCCTGAGCCCTCAACCCTCTGAATTGTAAAAAACCCAGACTTCCTTGAACTCAACACAATGGCAGGCCGGGCCCTGGAGATACGATTCTGACAGAGTCCCCGGTGACCACGACAAAGACGCCGGCTTCATCTTCGACCTCAGGATTCCCCCAAGAGTTCTGCCCTGGTTTGGGGCGCTACCGCAGCTTCTAAGTCCGTCCTTGGCTCTTATCTTGCAGTACGCTTTCTCAAACGTGGCCGGTAAGCTCCGTCCTACGGTCCCCCAAATTCCGGGACTACTGCAACAACGCCTCTGCGGAATCTTGGCGATCTCTGGCGGCCAGTGCCTGCAACAAGGATCCCCCTCAACTCTGCAGTAAAAGCTCACTAAGGGTTTTGTTTGGGGGTTCAAGGCTTTGGGGCCTCCCATCCCGCACAATAAGGGCTCTGAGGACTCTGACCCTGTTGGGGTTGCAACCAAGCACGGCTTGCAAGGTTCCAGCTGAGGACCCGGAGCGCAGCTGCAAAACAGTTCTGCCGGCTGAAGCACATACTTGGTTTAGGGTTTAGGGTTTAGGGTTTAGGGTTTAGGGTTTAGGGTTTAGGGTTTAGGGTTTAGGGTTTCGGGTTTAGGAAGGGTCCACCTCAAAACCCCGATCCCAACAAACTCACCGAACCGGTACCTCGGCCACTCTCGTCAGGCAAAGCAAGCAGTTGACCGTTTGAGGATGGCGTTCCCCAAGCAAGGCACGACCTCGGCTGAGGCACAGAGCTGATAGAGATTGCGTGTGCAGTTTGGGGATGCTCAGGATTCTTGCTTGGAGGTTCAGGTTACCTAGAACCCCATGATAACTGCTCTTATACCCGACTTTAAGCCCCTCATAAGCAGCCCAAGATGGTTATAAATACAGTTAGATCTGGTTACTAGGTACCCTGAACCTCCAAGCGATCATTGGTGTTAGGCCCTTGCCTCGTTTGAGATTGGGCTCGGCTCTAAGCCTGCGGCAATGGGCGAAAGCCTGAACACCCAGCGACTTCGCGGCATCCAACTCACCCTTCTCCAGCAGGGCCACTGCTAGGCTGCTGATGCAGCTCAAAGTTTGCGGGTGGTTGTCGCCTAGTGTGGCCCGGCCTCAGCCACCAACGATGCCTGCAAACACTCCCCACACCAGTCCGTTTCAGCACGCTGGTCAAACTCCTGGGCGCGGGGCTCAAGCGCACAACCTTCTGTAAGACCTGCTCGGCAATGTCAGGCTTGCCCATTTCCATCACGACCGCGGCCAAACCGTGCCAAGAGTTGAGGGTGTCCGGGTGATCGTCTCCCAGTGAGGCTTGGCCTCGGCAAAGCAGGCACGAAAGACATCGCAACATGGTGCAGCCTAGCCGCATGCACCAGGAAGATGAGCTGAGGGCCGCAGGCTAACAGAGCTGAGCACGCGGCGCTTTTGCGCCACTTCCAAGTACATCGCCCCTGCCTCCTCCAGCTCGCGTTGCCTACGCAGAACGCCCGCCAAATTGTGGAGGAGGTTCAAGGTCCGCGGGTGGTCGTTGCCCAAGGCTTCGCAGCCTCGGGAAAGCTGCGGTAGCGCGCGTGCACTCGAAGAACAACCCAAACACGCATGCCATGCCCATGCATCTCGGCGCGAGCCGCTGAAGTTGTGAATGAGCCGGTCAAGGCAATCCAGCGCAAACAACTGGCGCTGCGCACTCAACGCTAAGACGGGCCAAGCCCTCACGTCCTTTGAAACCTCAAATTATCAAACAAGTTAGGGTTTGTAAGCATGCCTGGGACGATCACCCGGAAATGCTAAGCACGCCAGCTGAGCCCGCGGCGACTCTTCAGGGCTTCCCGAAGCCTTGGTACTTGTAAAGACATCAGAAACATTATCATCTGAGACGCTTTCGGGCTGTGTCCAACAACAAAGTTAACAATACTTCCCAAGGAGGGTCTAGATACAATGCAGCAGCGGCCTCCAGATCCCCCTTGTCCTGTAGGAGCCTCGCCAAGTTGTTCATTGAAGCGATGGTGTCTAGATGGTCGTTGCCCAGTTTGGCCTTGCCTTGACAACTGCGCGAAAACAACAGCAGGCACACGAAGCCTTTCACAGCACAAATGCCCGACATGTCTAAAGCAGCTCCGCATGACGCCAGTCCTGCAAGCTGGGCCCGCGGCACTTTTGCAAGTTCTCCAGACAGAGTGGCTCCGCAGCCATCAGATCGCCCGTCGTCAGCAAGAACGCTGCCAGGGCACGATGGAAATCCAGGGTCCGCGGATTGTCCTCACCAAGCACAGCTCGGCCTCGGCAGCGCATCCATCGCCACTGACACACAGTTTTTGGTGCAAGCTTGGCACCAAGCCCATTGAACAAAGATGCGTGCACAGCAGCACAGCAGAGAGTATACGCCAGGTCCGAGTCGGATCTTAAAATCCAAAAGTAGAGTTCAGCACGCGCTGCACTCCAGAGCGGATGTGCTGCCCAGCAGCACAAGAAGTAGACATGTTGCCTTTTCTTTCTCGTTTGCCACAGTCTGGCCACTTATCCGAGCAGAAAAGCCAATCTTACAAAACAGATCCCGTCTGAATTAAGACTAAGAACATCAAAAAACATACTTTAGCCCCAAGATGGAAGCAGAAAGAGGGGATGACACGCAACTGCACTAAACAAAAGGGTGTTCTCAAGCGGCACTCCCAGAGTTTGCAAAACCCCAAAGACAAAACCTGCAAGAGCTCTCCAACACACCAGGGACAAGAGAGAGCTGCTGAACCGGAGAGCCCCGTCTTCTTGCTCTCTCGAATTCAAGAATATACGGTGTCACTTACGGAAAGTTGCTGAGCCAACACACTGGTCTGTCGTCAGAAAGCCTGCGAAACTGGGAGGGAACCAAAGGCAGGGCGGGCAGGGTACAGGGCCGCCGCATGACGGGCACCTTTTTTGTTTGGCTGCTGCTTGCGCAGGAGCTTGAGCCCATACCTTGCATAATGACATAGAATACTGGATGAGTTATGCTTTATATACTGTCCAGTACCGCCCTACATGACAGTCGGCCCTCTGCCCCCCCAAAACCTGCACTGAGTCCTGGGCTCCTCTCCAACGCCTCTCGATACAGCGGCCCCGCGGCACCGAAGTCGCCTTTCGCGCTCAGGAGATCCGCCAAGTTCTTCATGTAGATGATGGTGTTCTCATGGTCGTCGCCCAACTTGGCACGGCCTTGGCATGATCTCAACAACACTTCCGGCACATTCCGCCCCCCGCCCCCCCAAAGAAATGAGCCTGAAGTGCCTGGCGGAGTTGGACCAAATCCCCTGAGCCCGCGGCCTTTTTCCAGAACCGTTCGACAGAGTGGCTCCGCACCGTCCAGATCGCCCTTGGTCTCAAGGAGCCGACCCAAGTCGTTCATGGAGACGAGCGTCTCCGGATGATCGCTGCCCAGCTTGGCTTCACCTTGGATCGGGGGGGCATCCAGTCAAAAACGATTGTCAAAGCTCAGGGCGCAACCTAGATTGTGCTGAGCGGCGGCACTCCAAAGCCTGCCGATACAAGGCCTCTGCTGTGCCGAGGTCACCCTTCTCTCTGAAGAGGCGGGCACATACATTCATGGTATGGAGGGTGTCCGGATGGTCTTGACCCAGTACTTCACAGCCTTGGCCAGATCTGGCACAGGGCCGCAGCACCCAAAAAAAGGCACCAAACCCTTCTTCCATAACCCTTGGTGAGCGGCGCTTCTGCAAAGCGAAGAGAAGCAGTGGCTCGGCATCCTTCAGTTGACCTTTGGTCATCAGGAGACCTGCCAAGTTGAAGATGTCCATGAGGGTGACCGGGTCGACGTCGCCCCGCGTCGCCCGGCCTCAGGGAATCATAAAACCCCAAAATTGGAAGACTTCGTCCTCAGGCTCAAGGAATGGCCCGAAAGCCCAGATTTCGGGTCTAGAGCTTAAGGGCGTAGTTTAGGGTTTAGGGGTTCCGGGTTTAGGGGTTTAGGGCCTAAGTTTAGGGTTTTGGGTTTAGGGTTTAGGGTTTTGGGGTTTTGGGGGGGTTTTGGGTTTTGGGGTTTTGGGTTTAGGGGTTTAGGGTTTAAGACAAAAACACGGGCTGAGCCCGTGGCTTCGCTCCACGGCCTCGCGAAACAGCGGCTCTGCTTCGTCCAGCTCGCACTTGAACTCGAGGAAAGCAGCCTCGGGGGCACCCTTAGAACACGACAGCTCGTTTTAGGGTTTAGGTTTAGGGTTTAGGGTCTAAGTTTAAGGTTTAGGGTTTAGGGTCGCCCAACTCAAAAGCAACAAAGCAGAGAATCAACCCTGGCTTGATATTTCCGATTGCTTGATCCGAACAAAAAGTCGAAGAGAACTCCGAGGTGAGTGTAGTAGCGAGGTTGGCCACGCAGGCTTGGGTGACAGTGTGGTCACCACCCAGAGCAGCTCGGCCTCGGCACTGCCAGAGTTGGTGCCAAAAGGGAGTTTGGATCAGGGCCTGGACTTGGGCCTTGTTCGAGGATTTGAGGTTTAGGGTTTTAGGCAGTTTTAGGGTTCAGGGTCTCAGGGTTGCAGGGTTTTGGGGCTTGAGAATATCGGGTTTCTTTTTGCTTGGGGGAGAGAGGGGTGGGCGCCGAATTTAGGGCTTTGGGCTGTGTAAGGCTGTAGGGTTTGGGGCTTGGGGCCTAGCCTGTGAGCACAGCTGTACACATGAAACGATGGAAGATGCTAGAGCGAATGCTTTAGTAGCGATGTGTAGGAGCACTCTGCCATGCAACAAAACCACTCCCCATCTGAGCCACTGCGTCTCAGGCTTTCCCTGAAGAGCTCCTCCGCCTCCTGGAGCTGCACACGTTTTTCGAGCCTCGTTGCTAGCTCTTGCATGCAGGCCAGGGTGTCAACGTTGTCACTTCCCCGCGTGGCATGCAGGTGCTTCAGGCGGAGTCGTAGCAGCTGCACCAGTCCGTCCGCTTCCGCCGACACGTTGTGCACTTGCCCGGCGTCATTGGCCACACGTACCACCCATACATCCCGGGCTCGGTCCACGGGCTTGCCCTTGTAGTCCTCGCCGAGGCGGACCATGCGCTCCTCACCCGTAGCCTTGTCCCGCACAAACTTTTGGTCGAGGTCGGGCCTCTGCTCGACAAAGGACTCAACAAAAACATCTTAGAAGACCCAACCTTGAAACCGAACCTGCTTGCACGGTTGCAGAATACACAGGTCATCTGTCCAGGGACACTTTTCACAAATGACAGCCAGTGGACTGTGAAGGCTGTCCACACTTGCTGGAACCCAAGCACGGTGATAAGGGGCGGTGTACGTTGGCACTGCTACAGCACACCTTTGCTTCAGCCACGGCACGTCTGTCGTTCAAAGATGTTGTAGGCCACAGCCCTAGGCACCAACAGCGGAATGCAGAACGACGCGCGCTCTCCCCACTCGCGTCGGACACGTTTTGCTTCGTCGTCGTTGGTGTCGCCTTCCCGGAGGATGCAACAACGAAGGCATGTGAGATGCAGCTGCCATGCATCTTTTTTTTGGCATGCTGTTTGAAAGTTTTGCCAGCAAACCTTCTTATGTCCTGCCATTTTTGGATTCTACTCTCAGAGTTGTTCGCTCCTGAAGCCCCTTGGTTCTTTTTGAATTTGGGAACATGGGGTGTTTCCGAGAATAGGGGTACCCTTTGAGGGGGTCTACTTGGGTAATAGAAGGGATACCCCTATTTTGGGAAATACCCACATCTTTTCTGTAGGTTCATTGGGTTTCTTGCACGCTGACCAGCGGGCTCGCCTGGCCTCGCGTGGTTTTGGAAGGCGCTACAAAGACTGAGGCTGCCACGGAACGGGCTCCCATTGCTGTAGTTGTTGAGAAGAATACGGACGCGCAACGTCCAGACCTTGAGGCGACTGCTTGAAAGTTTGGACGTGCAGGTACAGATGAAGGCCCAGCAAAAAAAAAAGTCCGAGAACTCGGGGAACTGCACTACGGCTACACGATGCTGCTTGGAACGTATGCTTGCTTGCTCGGTTCGAAATCAACTGCACATCAGCGGCAGCTTGGTTGCAACAGAAACTCTTTTGAGCTCAGGGCTATCACACGCAACTAGGGTTTAGGGTTTAGGGTTTAGGGTTTGGGGTTTAGGGTAACTGATTTCGTGAATCTTGCTGCTAGCTGTTTCAGCCGCGTTGCAGCCGGCTCGTGCTGGGAGGCATACACGCCCTTGCCGAAGTGGGCACGAGACTCCTCGAGCGACGCATAGAGCTCCGCCGTGGTCTTCCGGAGATCTGCTACGTTCCGAAACGCGCGTTCATCCGTGTAGTGGTACAGCACCATGAAGTCGTCATCATCCCCGCGTAGCAAATCCCGTAGGTCCACCGCGTGCTGCCAAACATGAACAGGGCCATCACGAGCGCTATATTTGAAGGTACGTATGTTCCCGACAAAAGCATCAAAGTACTTTGCTCCCGCGAACAGCCTTGGAATGTTGAACCCACTGGCCCGAACTTTAAGCTGGCAGTTCCCACGTTCATCAAATGGTTATCAAATCTAAAAGGGTGCTAAAAGATGCGTCCTGCATGGCCTGACAAGAAGCTCCCCACGACAGTAGATGCTTGCAAAGTACTGCGATAGCACCTGGCAAAAGTAGACGCGCCGATCGTGTTCACTCTTAACACTGAGGTCTCGACAGCAATGTTTCAGCCTTGACAGCCTCTTTGGATTAGGGCTGCGTTTGCCGAGGTGAAACCCCATCATCTCGCATCCAAACCATCACTGCAAGGCGCTTGATGGATGGGTTCGCGTTGCTTTGGGCTTGACTGTGGCGACGCTTTCACTTGCCTTAACCTGTAGCAAAGGCCGCAGCGCACCTGCTAGTTGGCCGTCGCCAGGTTTGGTTCTCCCTTTCACCCCCCCTGATAGGGGTATACACTCGGAACAAGATCGGAGACGCAGCCTGATTCGCCTTTTCACGCTACGGCGTCGCAGGCTCTGGCGTTTACCCTTCCGACGTACGCATCTTTGCTCACCTGGACCACCCCGTTCAACTACGAAACGTCACTCATCAGCCCGGCGATCAGCTGCACTCAAGCGAACGATCAGGAGGAGCCAAGTTGAGTTGAGCCCGAAATGCCCCTGTAAATGAATTGCTTGAACTTGTGACTGACTGGACGCGTTCACTTAATTCACTTTGTTGAGCTCACCTTATTCGCTCTCATTATATCGCGCTCCAGGAATGATAGCGAAGAAAAGGCCGCGAAACATTCTGACAAAGCAAAAACTTGCGGATGTACTTGCTCAAGGCTTCTGGTGCTTTGGGCCTAAGAGCAACAGAAAAGCATCAAGCAACCTCCATGTCTAGACCTGCAGAGGAGAGACCTCAACACTTACAGGTTCAGGGATCTTGGCTGTGAAGCTGTCGGGCCTTAGACCCTCAACAGCCGCAGTGTTCCGGGGCCTGGGGCGAAGGCGCCTGCTTGCAAGGCTTCGGCCATCGACCTCGGCCTTGGAGTAGTGTTGGCGCCCGGTTGGAAGCCTGGCAATGAGGATTATAGGTTGAGGGCTTGGGACTCGTCTACGTTGCGCATGTGTTTTCCGAGCGTTCCGGTATTTTGGGGCCCGGGCAGTAGCTTAAGGACATGTCCGAATGAACTCGGGTATGTTTTGCAAATACCTTTGGGTTTCCCAATGACACGGCCTCGCCGCGACATGATCTCTGCAGGGGCCACGGCCAGCTGATACCAGAAGCATCAAGCGCAAAAACATAAACAAGAAAAAACAAGAACCTAGACAAACAGCGAGCATAAGAAAATGCTGTCTGTCCTCAAATGCTCTAAGCCCGAAACCATTTCAATGACAGGATCATACTTGCTTCTGCCGATGCGACATGCCTAACGAAATCGGATGGCATTGCTCGACTTTCCTGTCCCTAAACCCTACGAGTAAAAAACCCTAAACCCTAAACCCCTAGACCATAGACCCTAGACCCGAAACCCCCAACTCTAGACCCTAGACCCTAGACCTTAGACCCTAGACCCTAGACCCTATAGACCTCAGACCTCAAATTGCGCAGCTGCACACGAAAAACGGGCCTCGGTGCGTTCTGCTTGCGTGCTCGCCACCTCCCGTGATTTTATTGGTTTCGATGGGTTTCTCCGGGTTTTTTGTTACGGGTTTTTGGGATTTCTGAGACCCTGGCGACACTCCCTCCACACTCTACAATTCACATACAGTTATTAGGTGAGCACCAGGGCCTCCGCCCGTGCAGCCGTGCTCTCCTTTGTCTGGACAAGGCAACGAAAAACGTGACGGACTCGACTGGTTCAAGCCACACTACGGATTGCTTAAGAACCCCCCCAAAAAAGTACAAAACATAGGGATTAATAGTTTTTGGGGGGAGGTTCTTAAGCAAATAGTAGGACATCACGATGATAACCTCTCGTAGCCTTGCATGCTCGGGTGCCATCTGGCCGAAGGTCGCAACTAAGACTGCAGCACATTGCAGCACTGAGGGCCGAGCGCAGCATCCCATGGTCAGGAGCGGCTGTGGCCTCTCGCTTTCAGCCAAAGCTGCGGTGGGTTTGCGTCCACGCTCTTGGTCTAAGGGTGCAACTAAGTTCAGTTCTCTTGCTGTGCTGCTCTGCTTGCTGCCTTGCGCAACCCTGCCGCCGCGAGCACAAAGCCAAAGCCGGAACAAGGATCAAACCGCACCTACAGCTTCAGCTCCAAAAGTTTCTGGGTCGTGGCACGGGGGGGCTGTGAGGCATCTTGTTGAATTTCCATGTGTAGTGTCTTTTCGGCTGGCTCTGCGGTCGCGGCCAAGTGAAAGGCTTGCAGTTGAGTTGCTTCTTCAGGGCTTGTCGATCCGAGATGTCTCCTCAGCCACCGGAACACAAATCCACAACGATGGAAAGCGACAGAAGACTGGAGACGTTGCGGACATGCCAAGCTTCAATAGGGGCCAAGCTCTGTGAATACAACAGGGTCGGACCACTCGGGCCCAATATACCTTTACACAACTTGGCTCGCAAAGCCCTGCTACTTATAGCACGTGCCAGCGCTTTGGTCAGTCGTAAAAGGCGCTTGCGAGGGCTTTGCGTCAGACTTTGCACACTCTGTCTTCCCACAAGCTTCGCCTTGCGGCGAACATCATCTCCAGAATCGCCACCAACGATCTGCGCGGCGAAACCGCGCACCCCCGGCAACAAGCAAGAAAAACGATCCACTCCCTGCAAATCTGCGGACCCAAATTGGACCCGCACGCAGCAACATGCAGACCCAGAAACGACATTGAAGCACCATCGCACGGAATGACAGACGAGTTCGCAGAGGGGAACCAGAAGACACAACGCTTCCAGAAGATGACGCTGTACGACGACGCAGGCAAATCGACACTATCAAAACCCGGAGGCAGAACCAGCACGTGATCTTCACAAATAACGTCACCATGATGGATGTCATCACCCTCATCTCGCTCATCACCAGAGGCAACATCTATCACCACGGTCTCATCACGGCATTCGCCAACGGCTTCCAGGACCCACAAAACCAGCGGCCTGACGGAGCAGGGGTCTGCGACGGGTTCACACAAGCATCGATCAGAAACGTCCAAAAGCGTGCAGTCGCAGCCTTCACTGGTTCAGTCAAAACGCCACCATGCAATACACAAACTCATCGAACGCAGGACGACATACAGGGCGGGAAGAGCAGCGTGTCCCAGAAGCCCTGCTCCGAAATGAGGCATAATTTCGACACGCCGAGTGAGCTAGATTTGCGACCTGCCCATCAAGGAACGCTGCGCCGGCACCTCCAAGCAAAACAAAAAGTTGCAACATCCCCTTCAATGGAGCGCAGCATTAAAAGCAAAGGCCAAACAGAAAAAGGTTTCCAGTTCAACTCTCGCAATTCGGCAAAAATTTATTCTCCACTGAAGGGCCGGTAGCTTTGTGGATTCTGGGGCGCGAAGCCTCCAGAAGCTTCCAGAAGCCTCCAGACTCCAGAGCGGCAAAACAACGTCTTTGCGGGCTGTGGCGAACTCGCTGAGCCTCAAAAGCCTCCAGATGGTTTCAGGGGCCTCCAAACTCTTCAGCCGGGCCCTCAGAAGCTTCCAAAGTCTGCAGCCACGGCAAAACCACGTCTGCTACTTGCACTTTGAAACCAACCAGGCACGAACATCAATGAAAAAAAGATGCTGGGAACAAAGATATATTAAATTGATGAATTTACAATTCCAGGCGCACTGTGACACATAAAATTGCGCGCAAATTTTTTCAAATGGATCGACAAAAGACAAAACCGAAATTCTTGTTGTTTGACGAATATTCTCAGCGAAATAAGCTGAAAACAAGATGAGCCTTACTGACTTTTTGCAACTCAATCAACCAAACTGATCTGGCTCAAAAAATCAAAAAAATCAACATCAAAAACACCATACAAAAAACACACGCTCAACGTGAAAAAACAAAGTTTTTTGTTGCAAAACTCGTTTTAAATATTCTAATTTAAAAATTCGTGCATGCCATCTTGTCAGTCAGAATGGAAGTCAAAAATATTTTTCGAACAAGAAGAAAAAAACATGTTATGGTGTTTTAGAAAACAAAAATCAATTTTCTGAAAATATAATTTCTTTGTAAAGACTTTGAGAAAACAGGTTGAGACCTTTTTTTTTGAACCGTCGCCTCTTTACTACATCAGCAGCGCAGTAGGTCGTCCTTGTGGGTCTCAACACTAGAGGTGAGACAGTCGCAGGCGCGAAAACCGAAACAAGCACACACCAAAAACACCACCAAACACAACCACAAAAACCCGCAGCAACCCGCCAAAACCAAAAGCGCCAAACGTCAAACTGTACAAGCCAGCGAGTGAAAAAGAAGTCGTGACTACAAAGAAGCAACCGCTAGCGCAGAGGCCCTTATTGCAAGACAACTTAACGCACGGCCAGCATGGTGAGACCAATGCAAACAAGAACCTACCTGCACCAATCACTCAGCAGCCCGTCCCAAAGCAATGCTGCGCCACGACTGGTACAGACATTAAGCGAAAGTATGGGTAGGCCGTAAGGCAAGGAACCTCCGTCACCTAAACTGCTCAACGCGTCCGTAGAGACAGTCCCCACACAAGCGCCAGGGCCGTAGCAATAGCACTCAGGACTCCATTGTGGTTGGCAAGAAAGTTGCAAGCACACGCAGGCCTTGCAAGAGGCCATATTGTTACAGCCCCGCGCAGCGGCTGATTTTTGAGACGGCGCAAGAGCCCCAAAGGCTGCTGTTTGGCTACCGGGAGCCTATCGGCTTGGCGTGCTAGCCTGGTGCAGTTTAAGGCCCAAGGCTGCTTAACGGTCTGCAGCCAACCGCGCGTCAAGTGTGAGTAGCAGCGCCTGTGGAAGCAGACATGGAACTGCTAAGGCATGCTGCGAAGTACCTGAAAGGAACACCCGACGTGTCGCTGATACACAAGAAGAGCTACCCAGGAAGAAGTTTCATCGAAGAGCGAAATGAGAGAAAAGATGAAGAAGTCGAGAGAAATGTCTATGAGCAAGAGTCACTGTTGGAGATAGTGACGGATTCCGATTGGGCAGCCGACAGAGAGTCGAGGCAAAGTGTGTCGTGTGGAGCGATCATGCTGAATGGAAATCTGATTCATTTTCAGAGCAAGCGGCAGAAGAGCATAGCTCTCAGCTCATGCGAAGCAGAGACTATCGCCGCAACGTCAATACTTTCTGAAGGAGTGTTTCTAAAGGCACTGTTAACGAGACGAGAATCCTCGGAAAAGAACCAAAGATGGTAATGTTCGAGACAACTGATTGCTCGGAAAGGACTGGGGAAAGCCCGTCATCTCGACGTTGATCTGTTATGGATCCAGAGTATCCCGAGGTTGATCATCAAAGCGATCAAAGGCAAGGACAACCCAGCTGATCTGGGAACAAAGAGTCTAAGCAAAGACAAAATCCGAAAGTACATGACAAGCCTCGGATATGTAGGAGAGTTTGTGGACCAAGAAGAAGTTGAAAGGAATGTACAAGTGCGAAGAATGAACGGCAATGGCCGAAGCGGCAATGGCCGACGAATGAACGATGAGCGATTGGCGAAGATCATACAAGCTGTTACGATGGCTGTGTTGATAGGAATGGGAGAAGCCAAGAAAGCCAAGGAAGAAGATCAAGGACCGGGAATAGTCATGTGTATCATGATTGGTTGTGTGACATGCATGGTTTGTTGCACAGTTTTTCCCGCAGCCGTTCTCTTGCTCAAGCAAGTAGGAAGAAGAGAAAAGAAGGTAGAAAAGAGAACGATGGAAGGAGAGAAGACTTACGAACAAATGATGGAAGAAAAAGTGGAAGAGCTGAAGGAGATGAAGACAGGAGCCGAGGAGCGCAGGAAGAAGTTACTGGAGAATGCTCCAAAAGAAGAGGAACAAGCTGAAGAGCCAAAGAAAGAGGCCAAAGAAGAACTGAAGGAGGAGAAGAAAGAGAAGAAAGAAAAGAAGAAGGAGAAGGATTTGTCGTGCAGTGATTCTGCAAGCGAGTCAAGTTCGAGCGACGAGAAGGAGGAGAAGAAAGAAGAAAAGGACCAGAAAGAAGACAAGGACCAGGAAAAAGTCAAGAACCAGGAAAAAGTCAAGAACTAGGAAGAAGTCGAGAACCAGAAAGAAGTCAAGGACCAGAAAGAAGTCAAGAACCAGGAAGAAGTCAAGGACCAGGAAGAAGTCAAGGACCAGGAAGAAGTCAAGGACCAGAAAGAAGTCAAGGACCAGGAAGAAGCGCTGAGAAGGAAGGAAAAAGGAGGAAGGAGTCGAAAAAGCCGATGACGATGAAAGATACGTCCTCCTGGCAAAGGAAGGCCTATGGCCAACGATCTTAAGCTCAATGCAGCTGGACGAAAAAAAGATGCTCGAAGAGACAGGGATCGATGGCGACCCCCTAAGGTCCGAAGCGACGCAGAGAATGTTCCAAGAGTTCAAAGAGACAATGGAGAGTCCAGTCGTGAAGATTCCAACGGGATATGGAACAAGGGTGCAACAATGGTTGGCAGCCCTGAAGGAGCAAGAAGAAGATGAGAAGAACTCGGACGATTTGATGTACGAAGATGTCGCCAATGCAGAAAGGAAGCAGAAGATGCCGAACGGGCATATGGCGAAAAGTACCGCGAGATCGAGAAGATGATGGAAGAGTGCAAAAGCCTTAAGTCCACGATGCAGAAGAAGAAGAAGGAAGCTGAAGGACATTTGGCGGAGTACAATGAGTTCAAGCACTCAAGAAGAATGCTGAGCGTGGTAAGGATGCTTGTAGAGACAAGTGAAGAAGCGATGAAGTGTTTGGTGGAAGCATCGCCAGACTACGGTCGATTTTCGAAGAAAGAGCGAGAGTGTCCTTACTCGAGCGAATGCGGAAAAGGAAGATGGCCGAAGGAGCCAGCGAGGCAGAGTCAATGGCTGCAGGCTCGGAAAGACAGGTGAAGACGAAGGCAATGCCAAAGCCATTGAAGCTGCGCAAGGAGATGGCAGAAGTTGTGCAAGTTGATGATGCCATCGAAGAGAAGAAGGATGAAGGTGAAGGAAAGGAGAAAAAGAGAGAGGAAGACCTGAGCAAGATCAACCCAAGGTGGCTTTTGAAGAAAGCACCCGAGACGAGAAGGAGACCGGAAAACGCCCGGCAGGATGCTTTTCTGTAAAGGCCCGCACCGAGCTGTAGACTGCCAGTCAATGCTGGAGCTGGCAAGAGAGACAGCGGGAAAGATTCCAAGTGCTGAGTGGCGAAAGAAGGAGAACCGTGGCCTCTGGTGCAAGTGGTGCTGGTACACGAGTTGTGGGTTCCCTACTTGTCACAGAAGGGGTGAAAGTCCACATCTCTGCCTAAGCCCGCATTTGGTGGGGATATCCGCAGATTCATCTTGATAGGTGACGCGTAGCTTGGCCTGATCATGAATGCTCATGATTAGGGCAATCGTGTCACAATCCACTCCAGCTTCGAGCAATGCAGATTCAAGCTGGGCTCTGGACACCTTGTCATAAGCTTTTTCGATGTCAAGGGAGATCTGGAAAGCACCCTGTGCATCGGGCTCGCATAACCCTTCACGCCTGTAATGCACTGACCCCCATCGGCCTGAAGTGAGCTGCCTTCCTCTGAAGCAGTGCGCGAACACGCGATCAAGCGCGTCAGCGACCTGTTTGTTTGGCATGTATGCAAATTGCGGAAGGCCTTCTAGGTAAGCCACGGCATGACGGTCAGCCAACATCGCCGCAAGGAGCTTGGCGTGGAGAGAAAGTAGACATATCGGTCTAATGTCTGCCGGAGTCCTCATACTGGAATTAAGACAACCTCGGCTATCGACCAGGTATCAGGAATTTGTATGCGTCCCGAAGGAAACGCCACCTGGAACTCCTGAAGCAGGTGTGGTTCAATGATGTCTGCAGCCGTTTTCCAAAGCGGCGCCACACTCATACCCGAGGGAAGCGCCTTCCCTGCTTGTAGTTTGCACATGGCCATGTGCACCTCAAGGGCCGTGAACATATACGGTTTTGACAGGTACGGGGCATGGGGTCAGGACCGTTATAGAGTTCCCTGTAAAAAGACCAGATTTGCGCACGAATTTGACATGGGGTCTGTATGTAGCCATGTGGGTCTTTGAGCTGTAGTCTAGATTTGGGCTGCTTCGGGCAAAACATTTTGGTCGCTTGATACATACCATGTTGATCAATAGCACTTTGAAGGCGGTTCCGTTTTCTTTCTCTCTGTTCTCTGCGATGCTCCCTGTTCTCTTTTTGAAGTTTGGCCATGCAGCGCCACGCATGTAGTGTGTACGCAAGTGCGTTGTCCCCTGTAAGGGTATTAGCGTTGATGTTGCGAAGCGCCTTTCTCAGTCGCCAGAGTCCAAAGGTGAATCATCTGTCAAGGAACTTTGGGGCCGTGTTCATCGTGTTCTCTCGCGAAGAAAAGCCCCTTTAATAATAATATTATGGCGACACGCATGAATTTTATATTATAAGTGCGCGATAATAGTATAATTAAAGGCCAAGTTCTTCGTCCACTTAGTTCGCGCTTATTACAATATAGTTCGTGCTTTCATTACAACTATATTATAAGCGCGTGCACGTGAAGAGAACACCATTAATAGTGTTATAAGGGAGTTTACGGACGCATGAATACTATTAATAGGGGCTTATGGGTGAACGAAACATGAACGGCCAAGTGCTCAGGGTCTTATTGTTAGGCCGTTGGCTTCCTCGTAATCAAGGATGACTCAATTTCTGAGAGACGAGGGTAGTGACAGTGAGGAAGTCATTACACCGCTCATGCTGTCGGAAAAAAACTGCGTTTCGAGGATTTAGCGTTGTCTTTGAGAGATTGCACAAAAAACACAGAAATTTGGCCAAGTAGCGGCGGTTTAGAGTTTCGGGTTTAGGATCCTCATCGAACCTGCAAGAAAGCCCTCGTTGTAACGCGCTGTTTCTCATGTCTGGATCTGCAAGCACTAGAGGGCCCAGCACGACCCTTTAAACTCTTCGACTTATGCTTGTGGATGTTGCATTCTGGCAGAGCCAGACAATTCATGTTTCTTCCACCCAAAACCAAACCCTAACTTGCGCCGTGAAAATAACTACGCAAGTTTACAATTGAATCACAAGCGCAAACAAGATTACGAAAGTAAATAGCTGGTTTTGTTTCGTTCATGCAATTCACGCGCAAGCTCGTCCATTTATTCACTTCGTTTACACAGTTTGTAGTTGCAAGTGCAGTGTGACGTTTCCAATTTTTGGCTCAAGCCGTGACCAGCGAGCAACGCTACTGAAAGAGAGTGCGCGGCCTGCTTGCTTTGGAGTGAACGCTTCTGCGACATATCAATAGAGGGTTTTGTTTGGGGCTTCAACAAACATTGTTGTAGCGATGTGTTCATTGCACTCACTTCGTTTCTTTGATAAAAATCTGTATCTAGACCACGTGTCATTCATACGTTCATTTCGTTCACACGCCATTAATATAATTCACGGCATTCACTTCGCTCGCTTGCAATTATACAGGCACGTGTACTCATTCACAGTATTCATTCAAATGGGTAACCTTAGGACGCACGAAAACTCCAATTAAAATCATGCGTCACGCACTCGTTTCACTCCCTTGTTTCCTTATATTTTAATCGGATTTCTCGTTTACAGGGTTAATCCACAGTCTCATGATAAGAGCTGTAGCTCGTGCATTCGTTCTCTTATTTCGTGCACGCATTATAATATTATTCACACGTTCTCTGCGTTCACTTGTAATAACATTATTTATGCGTGAACTTAATGAATGAACGGAGTGAATATGTGAACGCACACTTCGTTCGTACGTGCATACAATAAAATAATCCGCGCTCTCATAATATTATTTGCATTCACTTCTCTGTTCGTAATAATACAATTGTGCGTGCGAAATGTGCGCGAGTAAAAAGACTAAAATGATGCGCGCGAAATGCACGCCCCACTTCGTTCACTCAGTTCATGCGTTTCATGCACTGGTTTATAAACGCATTCACTGCGTTCACTTCGTTCTCTTAACAATGAAAGGAGAATACCGTGAAGCGAATGCTGCGCAAAAGACAGGCGGCTACGGAAAGCAAACTACGTCGGGGGCTACAGGGAGACTGTACAGAGGTCTAACCTTCACATAGTAGTAGCAGCAGTAGCAGTAGCAGTAGCAGTAGCAGTAGCAGTAGCAGTGGTAGTAGTAGTAGTAGTAGTAGTAGTAGTAGTAGTAGTAGTAGTAGTAGTAGTAGTAGTAGTAGTAGTAGTAGTAGTAGTAGTAGTAGTTAGTAGTTAGTAGTTAGTAGTTAGTAGTTAGTAGTTAGTAGTTAGTAGTTAGTAGTTAGTAGTTAGTAGTTAGTAGTTAGTAGTTAGTAGTTAGTAGTTAGTAGGTAGTAGTTAGTAGTAGTAGTAGTAGTAGTAGTAGTAGTAGTAGTAGTAGTAGTAGTAGTAGTAGTAGTAGTAGTAGTAGTAGTAGTAGTAGTCGTTAGTAGTAGTAGTAGTAGTAGTAGTAGTAGTAGCAGTAGTAGTAGTAGTAGTAAGTAGTAGTAGTAGTAGTAGTAGTAGTAGTAGTAGTAGTAGTAGTAGTAGTAGTAGTAGTAGTAGTAGTAGTAGTAGTAGTAGTAGTAGTAGTAGTTAGTAGTAGTAGTAGTAGTAGTAGTAGTAGTAGTAGTAGTAGTAGTAGTAGTAGTAGTAGTAGTAGTAGTAGTAGTAGTAGTAGTAGTAGTAGTAGTAGCAGCAGTAGCAGCAGTAGTAGTAGTAGTAGTAGTAGTAGTAGTAGTAGTAGTAGTAGTAGCAGTAGTAGCAGTAGTAGTAGTAGTAGTAGTAGTAGTAGTAGTAGTAGTAGTAGTAGTAGTAGTAGTATTAGTAGTAGTAGCAGCAGTAGTAGTAGTAGTAGTAGTAGTAGTAGTAGCAGTAGTAGTAGTAGTAGTAGTAGTAGTAGTAGTAGTAGTAGTAGTAGTAGTAGTAGTAGTAGTAGTAGTAGTAGTAGTAGTAGTAGTAGTAGTAGTAGTAGTAGTAGTAGTAGTAGTAGTAGTAGTAGTAGTAGTAGTAGTAGTAGTAGTAGCAGTAGTAGTAGTAGTAGTAGTAGTAGTAGTAGCAGTAGTAGTAGTAGTAGTAGTAGTAGTAGTAGTAGTAGTAGTAGTAGTAGTAGTAGTAGTAGTAGTAGTAGTAGTAGTAGTAGTAGTAGTAGTAGTAGTAGTAGTAGTAGTAGTAGTAGTAGTAGTAGTGTAGTAGTAGTAGTAGTAGTAGTAGTAGTAGTAGTAGTAGTAGTAGTAGTAGTAGTAGTAGTAGTAGTAGTAGTAGTAGTAGTAGTACTAGTAGCAGTAGCAGTAGTAGTAGCAGTAGCAGTAGCAGTAGCAGCAGTAGCAGTAGCAGTAGTAGTCCAGGTTCTGTTGTCCCGGCTTCGCGTTGCCTTGATGACAACTCCCCCCCCTTCCTCCACCCATCTGGATCTCACAGCTGGCATCTTCTTCTTTCTTTTGGTTTTTTGGGTTTAGCGGTTCAGGGTTGAGGGTTTAGGGTGCCTCTCCTGGTGCTCCAGTCAGGTTCTGGACAAGATCCTGGACGTCGACACTGGGTCATTGTTGAAAAGCATTTTTACATGTTTTCATCGAGTACTTAAACCCAACAAGGAAAATTTAAAAAGCGTGCCCCCCAACAATGGTGCAGGACCTGTTCAACAGCAAGCTTCGAGACCTCCTCCTCACCCGCCTTGACAGTTTCTCGGACCAATCCTAAACCCTAAACCCTGAACCCTAAACCCTAAACCCTAAACCCTAAACCCTAAACCCTAAACCCTAGGTTTTCTGGCCGCTAACGTCCTCGTGGGCCTGCTGAGCCTCGAGGAGTTGATCAGCGGTGCAATAGATGCACTCTGAGGCCCCCCGAACTGTCCTACTATTTTGCTTAAGAAGCCCTTCAGAAAGTGAGAATATTCTGCCGTTAATTGGTTTAGGGTTTAGGGTTTAGGGTTTAGGGTTTAGGGTTTAGGGTTTAGGGTTTAGGGTTTAGGGTTTAGGGTTTAGGGCAATATAGGGGCTGTGTAATTTTTATTCGCATGTTTTTGGGGTTCTTAAGGCCGCCAATGCGAAATGCCATACGGCATTCAGCGGTCTAATGCAATCGCTGGCCGGCCGCAGAGACTCCCCCGACCGCCTTTGCAAAGCAAAGT